AGAAAGGGCAATGACAGCCTCCATGTCCATGCAACTGGCTACAATCCTGTCAAAAGCTGATGGAGTTCCTCCTCTTTGCACATGCTCAAGTATCACCACTCCAGTGTCAAACCCCTGCTGCTTAAATACCAAATCTTCCATTTTCTCAGAAGTAATAGGTTTATTTTGGCAATCAATTGCTCCTTCAGCTGAATAAATGACAATATTCAGCCTTTACATTCGAGCAAGATTCTCTGATAGTTTAATGCATGTCTTTTCTTCTCAGCCATCTTTTGGAGAAGATTCCTGAAGAAATACCTAATCCGCACCACAAGCACTAACCAGGGCTAAATAACCATGGTGTCTCCCCATAACCTCAAGAACAAAGGTCCTCAGTTGGCTCTGTGCCACGGTCATCAACAACTTCAATAATCTGTGCAGAGCCGAGTCTGTCCCACAGAAGTCGTCGATGGAGTCCATCTGGACAGACTGGGCCAGCTCTTCCACAAGTTCACTCAGCTCCTTCTGGAAGATATTGGCCCCTACTAAGCATCCACCCCCACAAATTACACAGAGATTCGTAATTCCCAGACGAATCAAGTTGCAGGCAGCTTTTAAGCAGATTTCTCCGGTATAAAACGATTAGTAACGGGCACTGTTGATGATTGTCTTCCCATCTGTTGAATGCTTGAGACACTTTCCCATGAGGCTTCAACAGTATTAGGACCTCCATCTACCATACCATGGTTTGTTGTTGTTATTGTTAGGTGCCATCGAGTTGGTACTGACTCATAGCGACCTTATGCACAGCAGAACGAAACACTGCCCAATCCCGGGCCTATCTCATTACTGTTGCCACGCTTGAGTCCATCGATGCTGCCACTTGGCCAATTCATCTCATTGGGGGTCTTCCTCTTTTTCTCTGACCCTCCACCTTACCAAACATGATATCCTTCTCTAGCAACTGGTCCCTCCTGACAATATGTCCGAAGTATGAGAGACGAAGTTTGGCTATCTTGACCTCCAAGGAGCACTCTGGCTGCACTTCTTCCAAAACGGATCTATTGGTTCTTTTGGCAGCCCATGGCACTTTCAATATTCTCCTCCAACACTATAACTCAAAAGCATCAATTCTTCTACAGTCTTCCTTAGTGGCTCTCATATATAAAATATATACTTTGGCCTCTGTGTAGATTCCCATGTGCACTACAGCACTAAGAGCAGTGTTCATTCCTTGGGCATCCCTGCCGCTGGTCAAGACTCCAATGGCTTTGCCATCCTCAGAGAGGTGATCCAGGTACTTCTTGAAGGAATCCTTGGGTGTAGAGGGAGAGTCCATGGTGGGGAGAGGTGCCAAGAGAGCCCTGCAGGTTAGAGAGAACAGCTTCTGTACCTAGATATTTAAAACAAACCAATGGAAGCAGTTGCTATGAAGTCAATTCTGACTCACAGAGACCCTGTGTTGCAGAGTAGAACTGTGCTCCATAAGGTTTTCAAGGCTTGACCCTTCAGAAGTAGGTCACTAGGTCTTTCTGCCAAGGTACCACTGAGTGGATAGGAACTGCCAACCTTTCCATTAGCAGCCAATTGTGTTAACCGCACCATCCGCAGACTCCACCTGGGTATTAACTGAATCCTGATTAGGTGCGTGGCTTTCATTTTATCTCCACAACAGTCCTATGAGGTAGCTACTGTTCTGAGAGCTGCACTGTATATATTTCCTGTGCTCCTCAGCCCCATTTCCCACCCTGCTCTGTGATTTGCAAGGCAGACCCATACCAATTGTCTCTATGCCTCCCCTGCCCTCTGACTTCCGGTTGAGTTGGGTCAAGGGGAACCACTGGCATGTGAGCAGGAGACGAGAGAAGAGTAGAGCTGGGGAACCTGTATAGTCCCTTTGTTTGCAGCTTCCATGATCACCCAGTGTCATTGTGGATTTCCTTAATCACAGCCAGACTTTTCCCACTAGGAAAATATCTTGTGACTTACTCACTTTGGAAGTACTATGAATTTGTTGCAAATTGCTTGATACAATTCCCATTGTATTGATGACAAAATGGAAACTCTGAAAGCTTGCCTAAGGTGCAATGTGGTGAAGCTGTGAAGAAGTGGTCAAACTATGATTCGATTTCTGTGGGCACGGAGTGGAGTCGGTGGTGTCAGCCCAGCCCTGGACTGACTTATCTGTCTCATAATGACAACACGTGAGAACAGATGTGAACCATGGTCTGTGCTGTCTACACAATGACCTGTTTCCATGGCTTTTGGCTTCTAGAGACCTGGCTCCTGGCCTTGGCATTGATAGTCACTAACTGTCTATGTGACAGTTCTTGGGTGGAGCAAATGGTTTCTGCTTTATTATAACCTCAGGGCCAGCAGTTTGAAACTACCAGTCATTCTGTGGGAGAAAGATGAGGCTTTCTACTCCTGCAAAGATTCACAGCTTTGGAAACCCTATGCAGGCTAACTATGAGTCGGAACCGACTCCATGTCACATCACCATTAATCCAAAGATTTACTTCCACAAAGATTGTCGTTGTTAGGTGCTGCCAAGCTGATTCCAATGCACAGAGACTCCACGGGACAGAGTAGAAGGGCCCATAGAGTTTTCTTGGCTTTAGTCTTCATGGAAACAAATGGCTACATCTTTCTCCTGCAGAGCTGCTGGGTGAGTTCAAACCACTGTCCTTTTGGGTAGCAGCTGAGCATTTAACTATTATGCCACCAGGTGTCCTTCCATAAAGATTGTTGTTATTAAGTGCTGTCAAGTCGGTTCTGACCCATAGCCACCCTGTGTATGGTTTCCAAGGAGCGACTGGTGAGTTTGAACAACTGACCTTGAGATTCAAACTGACCTTGTAGTCGAGTGCTTATCCTACTCCTCCATAAAGATTACAGCCAAGAAAAGTCCTATGGAGGGTGTCATGATTCGGAACACACGAGGTGATTATGAGTCAGAACCTTTCTGGTTTAGTAAACCTTTCATTCTCTTTTCCTGCCTTTGGATGTTGATGTCCCCTAAACTACAGGCCATCACACAGTCCTGAGAGTGGGGGCCATGAGCCACCCTGTTGTTGTTGTTGTTAAGTGCCGTGGAGTCGGTTCTGACGCATAGCGATCCTGTATAGTGTTTCCGAGGGTGTAAATCCTTACGGGAGTAGAAAGCCTCATCTTTCTCCCACGGAGCGGCTGGTAGTTTCGAACCGCTGACCTTAAGGTTCGCAGCCTGATTTGTAACCACTACGCTACCAGAGCTCCATGAACCACCCTAAGGGGTGGTAAATATAGATGATTGTGTTTCTGTGTCCTTCAGACTATGAGCTCTTTGGGTGGAAACAGTCCTATTCTCTAATTCAGTCCCAGCTTCCTGGCAGAGTCCTAATACCACAACCAAACCCACTGCCATGAGGTTGATTCTGGTTCATAGTGACCCAGACTAGAAGTGCCCCATCGGGTTTCCTAGGCTGCACATCTTTACTGAAGCAGGCTGTCTAATCTTTCTCCCATTGTGGACTCGAACCACCAAACTTTCAACACTAAAGTCCTTGACAGGGCTCTGGTCTGGAGAAAATGCTCAGGAAAAATGGAAGGAGCTGCACAAACTATTTGGGCGAAGCTGGGACTGTGGTGCCTTTAGAAAGGCTACATGATTTCTTGTGTGTGCTTCAGGACTGAGTGTGAATAACTGGAATTGTGTGTCCACAGGGTGGGGATGTGATTAGGGGATGGCTTAGTGGATGGCAGGAGTGTAGCTGCCCTATACCGAGAGTGACAGTGGGTCCCGGTGTGGTGCTATAGGATAAGAACTAGACTGCTAACCATAGGTCAGTGGTTCAAACCCACTCCTTAGAAACCCATACAGGGTCACTGAGTCGGAACAGACTTGACAGTACTAAAGACAATAACAATCAACAGAGGGCAGGTTATAGAAGGCGTCTTGGTGTGGCACTGTAGGATAAACACTGGACTGCTAACCATAAGGTCAGTGGTTCAAACCCCCAGCTGCTCCTTGGAAACCCTATACAGAGTGCCTATGAGTTTGGAAGCCATACAACCGCACGCAACATCACTAAAGTTACAGAAGGTGCACGGTGCCCTCTTGTGGCCATAACTAGAACCATACTATGTACCTCAGTAGGTTCTATCCCAGCTTTCACTTGTAACCCAGCCCCAGCCTAGTTTCACCCCCAGCCATGGAGCTCTTTCCCCTTCAGGGGACCAGTCTGCCCTCAAGGCCTTGTAAGTGTGAGTGTGGGAGAACAAGAGGATAGAGCCAACTCGTACAAAACACAGCCTTTATTAATTTCAAGGCAACCGCCTTGGGGATATTCCCATCAGCTCATTCACCCCGCATCCCTAGAAGGAGCAAGGATCTGAAAGGTTGGCACCAGACTTAGTACATTTGCAGTGAGGAAGGTAGGAGCAAATCTTCATGAAGCTGGAGGAAAGGGGCTCTGGGGCAGGGAGTGTCAAGAGCAGGAATTGGTCTTACAGAGCTCCTCCTCTTCCCAAGCTCAAGGTCAGGCTTCTAGCCTCTCCACCCCAGGGAACAGGGCTGCTTCTCCCAAGGGAGTGAAGACTTCCTCGGGTTTGGTGAAGCTGACCCAGGGCAGGCATTTCATGTTTTGTGGCCTCCGGGCAGTTCTCTCTGCTTGGACAGCTTCTCCACATTCTTCAACATTGTTTCCTCAGAGAATCCTTGCCTGTTCACCCCCTCCTGGATTAGGCAGAAGTCTCTGCTATGAGCCCCCTAGTGTCCCTTTGCATGTGTGGCACTAACTTGCTTATTTAAATGTCTGTCTCTCTGAGGTGAAGATTGGCACAGGGCCTGTGGTGTTACCTCCAATACCCAGGTAGACAGCAGGGAGTCCAGTACTCAAAAAAAAAAGTCAAGGCATGAACTTAGATAGTAAAGTGAATTAGCTGAGCTCAGTGGGGGCATCTAGCACCCGTAGGACCTCTTGCAATACCTCCTTGCCTGTTCCCACAGACAGCCCTTGTCTTGCCCCTCCAGCCCATGGTCAGATGGGGGTCAGGTTGGGTGCTGATGCCTGTGACTTGTCATTGCCTGTGGTGGGGGCCAGCTCCACAGCTTCCATCAACTTGTGGTGGCAGCGGCAGGTGGAGGCCCGGCTGGCAGAGGATGGGAGGTGGTGGCCCCCCGGGGACTTGTTCTTGCGTGAACTCTGTAGTACCCTATGGAAGACGAGGTAGAAGATTTCACAGATGGTGAGCACAATGCAGACGGCCGAGGCGCCCACCATGAAGTAAGTGAAAACCTTCTTCTCAGTGGGCCGGGCAATGTAGCAGTCCACGGTGTTGGGACAGGGATCCACTTTGTCACACTGCACCAGGCGTGGCATGCCAAAGCCGTGCCAGAGTGTATGCAGCACATAAAGGAAGAGGAACTCGATGATGAGCTTGAAGATGAGGCTGAACAGGTATGTCCACCACAGGCCACCGTGCTTCTTGCCCGCGTTGTCATACAGCTTGGCACAGTGCTCACCATACTTCTGGCAGTGGCGCCGCTCCCGCTCCTCCCGGTAGGCTACATGCAGTATGACCAGCAGTGAAGGGCAGGTGACAAAGATGAGCTGCAGGGCCCAGAGGCGTATGTTGGAGATGGGGAAAAAGTTGTCATAGCAGACGTTGGTGCAGCCCGGCTGCTTGGTGTTACAGTCAAAGTCCTTCTGCTCGTCCCCCCACACGCGCTCTGCAGCCACCACATACACCAACACCCTGAAGACGAACACCACCGATAGCCAGATGCGCCCAAATGCTGTGGAGTACTTGTTCACACCACTCAGTAGTTCCCGGAGGGTCTTCCAGTCCATGGTGCCTGCTGTGGGTCCCGCGGGCTGTGCCTACCTGAGGAAATAGGAGAGAAAGCAATAATGTCAATTAACTGTGCTAACTAATGTTAAGTTGGCTTCTGACTCATGATTACTCCATGCACCATGGAACTAGACTTTGCCTGGTCCGTCACCATCCCCTTGATCAGTTGAAGATCTGATTGTTGGTTGATTTTTGGAAGTAGATTGCCACACCTTTCTTCCTAGTTCATCTTAGTTTAGAAGCTCTGCTGAAACCTGTTTAGTACCATGTGTTAAGTGCCAACGAGTCGGTACCAACTCATGGCCACCCATGTATAGGGTTTCCGAGGAGGAGTTGGTGAGCTTGAACCACCGACTGCGTTCAAACCGACTTTGCGGTCCAGCACATTAACCTACAGTGCCACACCATCATTGTTGTTGTTGTTAAGTACCGTGGAGTTGGTTCCGACTCATAGTGACCCTGTACAGGGTTTCTTTACAGGAGCAGAACCCCTCATATTTCTCCTGTGGAACAGCTGGTGGTTTCGAACTGCTGACCTTGTGGTTCGCAGCCCGACTCATAAACCACTATGCTACCAGAACTCCTTCACACCATCATAGCAACCCAAAAACTTTCACTGCTGATGGGTAGTGGCTTTGCATGAGGTGCACTGGGTGGAAATCGAACCCGGGTCTCCTGCATGGATGATAAGAATTCTACCACTGAGTCACCAGTATCCCCCCTGTATTAATTAAAAGTGACACTTACTGAGCATTTACTACATACCAAGCACTGTTCTGAGTCCTTTACATGAATCGATGAGCCCTATGATATTGCTACTGTTATTGTTCCAAAGCTCCAGAGAGGAAACTGAGAGGTTAAGTAACTTAGCCAAGTTCTTAGAGCTCATACACAGGGGAATGTGCATAACAAAAACCATCTGTTGAGCATTTTAGTATGAGTCAGGCATCACACTGAAACACTCTATGTGTAAGGTCTCACTGAGTCCTTATAAAGACCCCATGAGATAGCTTATGCTCCACCTTTACAGATGATGAATCTGATAATCAAATACAATGCCTGCAAAGCACCGAGTACAAAGTACTCAATAAATGCTGGCCACTTATTACTGTGAAGTCTAGAGAGATCAAGTCTCCCATTTAAAACTAGAGTTGGATTAAGGCAGGCTGTCAGGTGTCAGGATCTATGCATTCCCCCACCTCCTCTCACTTTCTGTATAGGCATCTGCCCCAGACAGGGTTCTTGCATCTGTTCCCTTGTGGATACCTTACTACTATTCTACTCACTACGATCTACAAAGAGGAAACTGAGTCTCAGAGGGTGGTGAAGATGGGAGAAGGATTCAATTTGGGGGTGCATAGTGTTGGTATGGTTTGCCTCTTAGGAGGACACTAGATCTAAGGCGTATTTAGAGACGTCCCGTTCCCTGTACCAGGGTCTGGGGAGCCCCAGCCAGCCTCAGCCTTTGCTGGCTGCCAGGACTCTGTGGTGGGAGGCTGGAATTGTTCAGGCCCCCAAACCTCACATTTTTTTCCCCAGGATCAGAATGACTCAGAGGGTGTGGATGGGCGGGCCCACTAAGTACACATAGCTTCTGCAGTTGTGGGGGTGGGGTGGTGGGGTGAGAAAGCATGAGCCTCTGCATGTGCGAGTGTGGGCCTGCGTGCATGCATGCTCAGTTCTGTCCGTCCAGGTGTGGATAAACATATGTGTCTTCTGAGAGCTGGGCCTGGGACTCTGCAAGCATGATGCCTGCCTGGCTGCTTCTTACCCCTCCAATGCCACTGATACTCTTACCCCTAGCATTGTACAGCCTCCGCATTGACCTCCCAGCTTCTGCTCCTATGTCCTCAGGACCCATACCAGGTGCTATGGCTCATGGCAACCCCAGATGTGTCAGAGTAGGACTGTGCTCCACAGGGTTTTCAATGGCTGAGTTTTAAGAAGTAGCTCTCCAGGACTTTCTTCCCAGGTAACTCTAGGGGTACTCAAACCTCCCTCCAACTTTTCAATTAGCAGCTGAGTGCATTAACCATTTGTACCACCCAGGGACTCACTCCTCATGTGCCCTTGTTGTGTGCTGTTGAGTTGGTGCTGATTCATAGAGACCTTATATTGTGTTTCCAAAGAGTGCCAGGTGGGTTTGAACCTTCGACCTTGTGGTTAGCAGTCCAGTGTTTATTCTACAGCACCACACCAGGCTGTTATGTTGTTGTTAAGTACAATTGAGTTGTTTCTGACTCATAGCAACCCCTGTATAGGGTTTCCAAGGAGCGGCTCGTCCATTAAATTGGATCATGTCACCCTCTTGTTTACAAGTCTCTACTAGGGTCTCATTATGTTTGGAATGAAACCCCAGATTCTATATTCTTGCTCTCCTTTCCTTCACGGTTACCTACCTCTCTCTGCTCCTGCCACACTGAGGTTCTTGTTCTTTCTGCCTAGAGTTCTTTCTCTAGAACCTCACGTGGCTGGATCCTTCTCATTTCGTACCCCATCTGCTCTCCCAGTCACTATGTTCAAGTATTCGTTAGCTGTCATTGTTGACTGACTGACTAGAACACCAGCTCTCTGAGGACAGGGACTCTGTCTGTCATTCGCATTGCTTTAGATTTAGTGTCTAGTGCTCAGAGTCCTGGTGTGGTGCTGTAGGATAAGCACTGGACTGCTAACCAAAAAGTTGGCATTTCAAACCCTCCAGCCACTCCTCAGAAACCCTATACAGGGTCACTATGAGTCGGAACTGACTTGATGGCACATAACATGCAACAACAAAGTGCTTGGCACTTGAACCCTGGTGTGGCACTGTGGGATAAGCAATGGACTGCTGATTGCAAAGCCAGCAGTTCAAACCCACCAGTTATTCTTGTAAACCCTATACAGGGTCACTCTGGAGTTAGAACCCACTTGATGGTACAGAATAGCAACAGTGCTTGGGACTTAGTAGGTACTTAAGAAATGCTGATTGAATATTGCTTTCTCAGAGAAGTTACTTGGAGGCAGGGGGTGTAAAGCGTGGGTGGGAGCATCCAGAGGCCAAGGTACAGGATAGGGCAACTTCATTCCTGAAGGCCCCCTCTTCTCTCCCGTTTCACTCCTTCTAGGTCCTGGGATTTGGGGAGGGGCAATGGAATGTAGCACTGTAGGTTAATGCGCTGGACTGCAAGGTCTGTTTGAACTGCAAGATTGGCGGTTCAAGTTCACCAGCTGCTCCTTGGAAATTATATACAAGGTCGCTATGAGACAGAAATGACTGGACAGCACTTAACAACAACAACAAAGGCAAGTGCATTGAACATAGGGTCACATCTGGATTCATACCTCAGCTCCCTCACTTTATCTGGACGATTTCCAAAAATTCTCTAACACCGTCCTTATCTCTAAGTAGAAATAATTCTTACATTGTTGGACTGTTGTTAAGAATTGTAAAAGTTCATTCCCTCCTTGGCCCTGAGGTTTGGGCCCGGTGTTTGCCAGTTTATGAGGAGAAGCTCCCCCTCTCCCCTCAGTATACTGGCCCCCTTGAGCCCTCTCAAGGCTGTTTGCCCTGGTGCAGCCCCCTCATGGGCCCCCATCTCCCATTTCTCAATGCTGTTGCCAGACACACCCTATGAACCTGATTCACCACCAAAGAATTTCCCTCCCAAGCTCAGGCTCCGGACTTGTGGAGCAGGTTTTGGCTCCCCACCCCTCGTGCCCCCCAACGCCAGCTCCCAGAGCACCCCCTGTTCCCAGTCCCTGGACTTGGCTAGAACTAACCCCTCTGCAATTCCCCTCCATTCTAGACCGGGATGGGGGGTTGGGGTGCGGGGACGCTTGTAGATGTGTGCATGATGGTCCAGAAATCTTTCAGCAGCTATGGCCCCACCAGATCCAGAGCTGAGGGGTGATGAGAGTGAGGTCCTCCCCAACAGCTTTTCTTTCTCCCAACCCCAGCCTGCCCACCACTCAAGCGGGATAAGACCCTAGTCCCACCGCATGGGGAGTGGCGGCGCTTGCCCGTCCCCAACCTGCACTTACCGGCAGCGCCGCCGGGGCCACTGTGAGGCAGCGACCCCCGGTCTGGGTCGCGCAGGAGAGATATGGGGGATAGAAGTGGCAATCAGATGAGCGGCCGCTGTCAGCCCCGACCTGGCCCGCCGGGGCTGGGGGAGGAGCCAGCAGATTGGCTTGGGAAGGAGCAGGCGGATTGGCTTGGGAGGCGATCTGCCTGATCCACTGTGGGTTCTAGTCCCAGCCCGGCCACCTGTTCCGGTGGCAGCCTTTGGAGGGTCTTGTAGCTCCTCTAAACCTCGTTTTCCTCATTTGTCAAGTGGGGAAATCGTTGCCCATGGGCAGTGCTGCTGCCAAGGCGCCAATAAGATTAGGGGCGTGAAGCACCCTTAACTGTTAAGTATCGTGGCCACAGGATGGGCAGCAATCATGACTCACCCACGCTCGTTACCACGGCTACTGGCCCTGCCAGTCAAGGTCCTCGTCGGCGCTGAGGGCACTCCTGAGGCCTGCCCTCCCGGCCAAAGGAATGACGGGTCCTGGACAGCCCTGCCCGCTCCGGTTCCACGTCCTCAAAGGAGGCGTGTGGAGGACTTTGGAGAATTGGGCAGGGACAGATCTTGTGCCTAGAAAGGAGATGGGGAGCGCATGCTGGAGTGGGGTGTTTGAAGCCCGGGGATGGCCAGGCTGGGGAAGGTCCTTGCCTGGAGTTTTTGCAAAGGGCAGATCCCGTGGCCTTTGGGAGAAGGTAGTGGCGGCAGACCTACTGCAGAAGGAGGCGGGCTTGCTGCTGGGGTGTGGCTCGGCTGGGCTCTGTTCACAAGGATGCTTTGTTTCATTTACTAGTGAGCTGTGAGTGAGAACCTAAAAAGAGCCCCTGGCGTTCTGGCTCTGGAAGGAAAAGCCTCACAGTTCTCCCCTTCCGAAGGGGCCCCAGATCTTAGTCACCGTCCAACCAACCCCTTCGGCCTGAACCCTAACTTTCTGTTAGCAAGAGGGTTGTCAT